GGGGGACGAGCTTGGCTCGGACCTCGGGCTTCCTTCTTCTCAGTTCGGAGCAGAAGACAGTGATGGGAAGATAACGACACGATGATAATAGGGACTAGATGATAATGACAAGGTGAAAAGGACTAGACTAAGAGGACCGGGTGATGTCTACTAGGTCTTAGCCTTGGTTTGCTAAGCCTCGTGTTTTGATGTTAGTAAACAATATAAGAGCTAAAAGTTTGTTTAAGTGTTTCAGGCACAACATGTAACACCCGCCTTCCGTGGACCCGGTTCACCCGCGACCAAACGGACCGGTAGGGTTACATGGGCGGTCTGAGAACCGTCCGTAGCGAAGAGAACATTAATGTCTATTTATTATGAAAAACGGTTGTGCTTAATTGATGGAATAAATGCTAGGGAATATTTCCAAAACGTGTGTGATATAAATGTAGAGTAAAAGCGGAAGTAAATAAATAAGTCCAAAACAAGTAAAACGACAAATGGTGGGTTCTTGCCCAAATAATCAATTTATTAAATGTATATAATTATTAAACTTGTCCGTGCGCCGCCCATCTTCCCATCATCACTGTCCTCCAAGGTTAGCACCCGTATCGTCATGTCTACCTGCGTGTAGCAAAAACAACTACACGCTCAGCAAAAGCTGGGGAGTGAATCTAACAAAAGAACATGAAGTGATAACCCATATGATTATATACATATTAATACCTGTACTTAATGTACGGAAAACCACATGTTTACTAACTTTTTAGTTTGCACCTGTTGGGTACCATTACATACAACAAAATGATGTGCTACTACATTGAATGTGAATGTGATGTGGAACATACATGATGATGATATGGCTTGATGCATGACTTCAACTATCAGGGACACCCCTGTCTTAGTCTCACTTGACAGGATCACCCATGCACTCCGGTTGTCATACCGAAACGGTAATGAGCCGGGAACAAGTGGACTAGCAAAACCGGGTAGTAGCCGTAACCTGACTACCATGTAAATACACAAAGCCCACCTGATGAAAACCCATTGGATCCCAAAGGTTCCTGGACGGGCCCACTGTAGTAGGCGCACGAAAGCCTAACCTCCCTACAGCGGTATGCACATGATGATGAACCTAGGACATGCGTCTAGGATGAACATGATGAATGTTTGATATAGTTACCTTTGGTCAACGCCAAGAATATATCAATCAAATAACATATATAATGTAGATTAACATTTCATGCAAACATACAATCAGATTCTGAGTCAATATGGTCAACAGGATTAGTTCTACAAACTGCCCGGAAATCTGCCCGAGGAACGGTCGACCGTACCCTACCGGTGGTCGACCGTGGGCTATGGTCTGGGTTGGGTCTCAAACGGTCCACCTAGGTCTTCCGTCGCGGCTGACAGTCGACCGTCACGGTGATGACCGTCGGAACAGCTGAGGGTACGGTCCACCGTCCGAAGCGACGGTCGACCATCCCGATGACAGTCTTCTGTCCTTGGCTACGTTTTGATCCGTTTTGGAAGTTTAATGCCTTAATTCTTTTTAGAACTATAATACAAACATTGGTGAATATATTACTAATGATTCCTAGGCCAATATATATATGTTTTACATAGTGACTGTCTTGATGGCTAACCTACAAACATGCATAGATTTACGTAGGTTGCGTACGATATTCCTATGAATATAACGACATAAATTATAACTAAATGTTCTAGAATGAGAGGGGACAACTACTCACCTCTATTTGAAGGGGTTAACGATAACGGAAAACGGATGAACGAACGGACGTCTAGCAAAGGCTTCTCGTGTGGACCCTCCTTCTCCTCTACCTCCTCGTCTACACGCCGGAATCTCTCCTCGTCTACTTGTTGCCTTGGCCGAACACACCAAAGGGAAAGGGGAGAGGGAGGGTTGATTGTTGAGTGCTTGGGGGTTACAAGGGTGATGGGGGAAATGAAGAGGAAAGAGAGCTTTATATTAAAGAAAAATAATGGAGACATAATGAAGGAATTTAATGGGAATGAATGGTGTTGTGAGGTTGTGGCATGAGGAATGATTAAATGGGGAGTTATCTCTCATTAATTCATTCCGTTTAGATAAAATCTGACCCGAACGGTATGCGTTTTCTCCCGAACTTGTCCGAATTGAAAATCGTTTGCACTTTCGGAAATAAACAGTCAAAACTAAATTTATGATATCTTCAGAATATTTTTCTCAAAACTTTATTTTCAAAATTCCGGATCCATCCCTATCATTAATTAACTTATTTACTTAATTAATGTCGAGAGGCCCGTTATTAAAACATCTTTTATAATTAAAATACATTAGCTTTGGAAATCATTTGAACGGATCGAAATCTCAATAAATACATAATATTTATTTAAAACTAGGCCGGTTTGAGGGCGTTACACAACAAGAATCCATTAAGATTCGGTTCTTAAAAATGAAGTCGAAACACTAAACTAGCGCAGAATATAGGTAGAAACCGATGTACGGATAAGATTTTATATACCTTTATTCACAAGCTCAAAAGAACTCACAAAATATGTTTAAAACCATCCCATAAACATTTTCAAATATCCAAAAGGTTTTAAACTCAAACGAGAAGGATTACGGGAATTTTGGAAAACTCAGGACAGTGCCACGGTACCCTAAACGGTACCCTATACCGCCTACACGGTAGGGCATATCGCTGGCATGGTACCCCTGTACCGTTAGAGGTCAAGTTCCGCTAGAGCCGGATTAAGTTTTTGTGCTACACGGTACCGAGGTACTGTCACTCACGGTACCCCCTACCGTACGCACGGTATCATGCTACCGTGAGGACGGTACCGGCCTACCGTGACCGTTAGGTTACTGTTCTTGATTTGTGAATTTGATTTTAATCAATCTTAATCACCTTCCAACGGCTAATTAACCTCTTACACTATAAATACAAGCCTAATCCTTCATATTTCTTTAAGAAAACAAAGCTCCAAACATCCTCCTTTCATATTCTAAGTATGTTCATTCTTTTATTCATTGTTTTCAATATTTTGGCTATTTCAAGAGCCTTAAATTCCTGATTTTTACACACACACACATTGAGCTTGCATTTTATTTACGCTTTTATTTCTGCGTTTAATATATTGCTTCCGCATTTGCCAACACCGTTTTTTGTTAAACTCCGAAAAGATTTTAAACGCCTTATTCACCCCTCTCTAAGGCGTGGGCACAAAGACTAACACTAGGCGACAAGCATCAGGTACAGGGGTTCACTTAGTTGTATTGTTTAATCTATAAATAGGTCAAGGACTTCTCATTGTAAAGGATCTGATTTCAAGCTAATAGTATTCCTACTTTACACACACTCTCTCTCTCTCTCTAAAACTTTACATACCTAAGCTTATGTATTTTCCCGATCCCACGGTCAATATCTCCGGTGGTTTATTGCCATCAAATTGGTACTTTCATTGAGAGGAGAGAAACATAGCCGTAGGTTAACTCCCAAGAATGAGAATGGTACATACAAGGAGCAACATCCCTACCACCAGCCACGCCCCCAGTGAGGGGAACAACCCGGGCAACGGTAACGGGACCGGGGTGATCACCTCGACTCCTTATGCGGTCCAGGCGCTTTTCGGGATGGGGTGACTGCGGAGTATCTCCAAGCTGCCGTTGTAGCCCTCTCCGCCATTGGTGGGAGTGGGTGTGGCACTATAGCCAACAAGGCCCAAGACACCACAACACCGAGCATGCTGCCACTTCCGAGCTCAAGGGAAAGAACACTCGGAGGAGCCAGAGGAGGCCCGGTAAGGCCCTGGTGATTGAGGAGGTACTGGTAGAGGACATCCCAGAAGGGGAGGATGATGACTCGAGCGAGTACCGGGTGTCAGCCTTCAAGCGGCTGGGGGGTGAGGAAACCCGTGTGTCGGCCTTCGATAGGCTAAACCATGGGCACGACGGCCGTTAGAGTGTTCTACGTCGGCAGATCTCGGAAGGCAGACAGAGGCATGTCGAGGAGTTAGAAACCTCAGACGCACGCTCCGGTAGGCCCAAGCGTACCGACGGACAGCGAGACGAGCAAACCCAGCGTCGCCGGAGGCCCAGGAAGATAGAGAGGACGAAAGGTTCGGATAATGGTATGTCCCGCCTCTCGCGGGAAGTTGCCGAGCTCAAGCGCTAAGTGGAGACTAAAATGCCCTACAGCCAGCCGATCTTGAGGATGGTGACCCCTTTCACGTTGAGGGTCATGTCCATACCGCTACCGGCGAATTTTCGGTCGTGGCATGTCAAAGCCTACAGTGGAACGACAGACGTGCAGGACCATCTGTCTAAGTTCTACGCCTCCATGGAAGTAGCTGCGGCGCCTAATGAGGTTAAGTGCCGATGTTTCCTCGCAACACTGGAGGGCTCATCATGATACTAGTTCAACCGACTTCCGAAGGGAACCATTGACGATTGGGAGACTCCGGCAGAGAAGTTTTTAACCCACGCACTTCGCGGCCAACCGTAGTTAGAGGCTACCCTACTCCCACCTCCTCAACATCTGCATTCGCTAAGGGGAGAAGGTTCAAGACTTCATAGTCTGATGGGAGAAGGAAGCCAGAGATGTGCACGGGGTTGACGATCAGGCCTTAGTTGCTATGTTCCAAGCAACTCTACCTCGAGGAGAAGTGATGAAGGAGCTCTGCAAGAGTCCTCCTCCCACATACCATGAAACTTTGACACGTGCTAAGTTCTTGACCCCGGAGGAGTTTGACGACACTCCCGCATCTGAGGCTGCGCCGGCAAAATGAGCTCTTGCCGACTCGGAAGAAATCGCAAAGAAGAAGAAGAAGAAGAATAAGAAGGATTATAGTGCTAGACCGAGAGCACCTTCGACTGGAGTATACTCCGTAGGTTCGTCTGTGGGGACGGGTCGAGAGCTGGGTCTTTCCCTGCTCCCCCACATGGAGACCAATTGGTGTCCCGCGGAAGAAAATATTGCGAGTATCACCGCAACAACACCCATAACACCAAAGAATGCTTCACTCGCGAGAATGAGATGCATCGATTGATTGCTAGAGGGCCCGTACCTCGAGATGACAATGCAGCCCCGTCACGAGGACCCCCAGAAGGGAGGACCTGGATGAAGCCGGTCGCCGTGGCCACGCAAAGGAGGAATCTTGAGAAGAGGCACATTGGATGGGAACATCAGAGGGGATTCCATCGCCCAGAGAAAGAATTTGAAACACATGGTCTTTGTCGCCAAGGCCCACCAGCTGCCGGCGTCTAAGCTCAGGAAGAGAGAGCAAATCCAGTTCACGTAGAAGGATCTTCCCAACACGAGGAGCCCCCATCGAGACGCCCTGGTCGTCCAAATTGAGATAAATAACACTATAGTGCACCAAACCCTGGTTGATACAGGGAGTTCGGTAAACATCATGTACAGGAAGACCTTCAAGGACCTCGGCTTGAGCTGCAAAGACCTTAAGCCAATGCGCACCCCTCTCTCCGAGTTCACGGGAGACTCCATCGAGGCCGAGGGAGTTATCAGGGTACCCGTTATAGAAGGGGATGGTGTGCACAAGGCTAAGCTGAACTTAGAGTTCATGGTTATGAGCATCAAATGCACACACAACATGATCTTGGGACGACCCAGCCTCGAGGACTTGGAGTGCGGCATCTACCCGTATTATTTGTGCATGAAGTTCCCCACCCCTTCGGGGATAGGGTTGGCAAGGGGAGATCTGAAGCTTGCCCGTTCGTGCTATATCTGAATTACCAAGAAGCTGCCAAGGGACGAGACGCTGGTTGTGAACACCTAAGAGAAGATCAGGAAGCAAGAAGCGTGGCCAAAAGCCAAACCTGCTCAAATAGTTGAGAAAGTGCCAATCGACCCCCGTGTGCCCGAGTGGAAGGTGAAGACTGGGGTGAGTCTCGCAGGTAACCTGTGGAAGCATCTCGTGGCCGTGCTCACTTCCTTCAATATTATCTTCGCATGGGAGCCTAGAGATATGACGGGAGTAGACCCCAAGATTATATGCCACCGGTTGGCAGTCAATCTCGAGTTGAAGCTAGTAAGGTAGAAGAAATGACTCCTTTCGTCCGAGCGGAGGGAGTTCGTCGCCAAGGAGGTAGCCACCCTCTAGAGTATCGAACATATAAGGAAGGTTATGTATCCGGAGTGGATGGCCAACGTGGTGTTGGCGTCCAAAGGGACCACCTCGAATATGTGTGTGGATTACATTGACCATAACAAGGCGTGTCCCATGGACCCGTTCCCACGCCCAAATAATAACAATATTTTTATTTAGATCTGATTTGATTGGACCTGATTTGATCTGATTGGATCTGATCTGATCTATCTAAACCTAATATCAGATTTTATTTTAATAAGAATAAATAATGGTTGGGGCTATATCCACCCCAACTTTAACTAATGCCACCCCATTTATAATGTAGAGACCATTTTATCCCTTTTAGATCCAGTATGTGGGGTCATTTTTTACGGAGAACTGTGCTTTCTTATCTTCTCCCCTCCACTAGTATTATTATCCTCGGTCCTGCTAGGGGTACACCACCGGGGTACACCACCGGTGTACCCCAAATGAACCCCATATACACCCCCTCACTCCCATTCCATAACCCACGCACCCTACCCTTTCATTCCAGATCTCCCTTCCTCACTCAATCTCTCTTCCTCCCTCGGATCCCTCAACTCCCTCCCTCTATGCCGATGATCGATGCAGCACCATGCCTTCATCATCACCGCCACAAGACCTATATCGTGGGATTGATCCTCTCCGCCCCATCGCCAATCGTCTTCGCTATCTAGAAGATGCACGGTTTCGGCTTCCCGTCACCGCCGTAGCAGTGTCACAACAGCGGCATCATCTTCTTCATCATCGAGATCTAGATCGGTGTTGGGGGATGAACCACTCTTTTGACTCCTACGCATCTACATCAATTCTTTCTCTGTCGCCTGCTTTTCGTCGATGCCCGCTCCTCCCTGATTGCCACAACATCTTTCTTTTCTTTCAACAGCGTCACCGGAGTGGTGGAACCTGGTTGAGATGGCAGTGGACTCTGGTACATAGACAGTAGATGTCTGTTTTCAAAAAATTACTGACATTAATTCTCTATGTGACTTGTAGTGCCTATTGTACTTTTTTACAACATAGAAAAATTGTAAGATATTCTTGAACAATGGAGGAAGATATTCTTGAAAATTGTAAGATATTCTAGAATAATAAATGTAAGATATTCTTGAAAAATTGTAAGATATTCTTGAAAATTGGTAGATTTTTTAAAAGACGTGGCACCAAAATCAGTTCATGAGCGTCTTCGGAGCAATAGATTTTCGTTGAGATGCTAGTGCAATTTTCTAAGTACACAGACAATAATAGTCTGTTTTATAACACTTACATAACTTTAGTGTCTGTGTAAATAAACATAGTGCTGATTGGAGTTTTTTTCCTCCTTTTAAACAAAAGAAAATTTGTGAAATGTTATTGATATTGTACTATTTCACATATCTAATGTGTAAAATTTTCATCCAGGTCACATAGATAATAAATATCTATGATCAAGAATTACATATATATAGTGTCTATGTCTATGTAACTAAGCAGTGTTAATTGTAACTTTTTTTACACAGACAAAAAACATTTATTTGTTGTGAATTATAGACAGTTTTTGTCTATGTGATCATACATGACTTTATGCATATAATTTTTTTAAAACTTATATAAGAAGAATTCATAAAAAATAGTTATGACTAAATTACAAAATATTTTTGATATTTGATATGATTAGTTCACGTATTTGATGGGTTGAATTTTTAGTTAAGTTACGCAAATAATAAATGTTGGTGTTTAATGAATTATAGACATTTAGAGTGTATGTGACCAAACATTTCTTATTTCATTTTTTTTTTGCATTTGAAAAGTCACAGATATTTGCCCATTATGAATCAAAGCAAGTTCTTTTTTTGGAATACAGACAGTTTAAACACACAAAAAGCATATCATAGACATTTTAAAGAAAGTTTTGAAATGGAATGCGACATTTTAAAGAAAGTTTTGAAATGGAATGCTCTTAATTAAGAAGCACTTTAATATTGCGTATTTGTAATTATGTTTCATAGATACATCATGAATGTGAAAGAATTGTTGAAGTGAGAATTTATCCAACATTTTGTCCATAATGTGTTACTAACATTGCGTGTCTGTGAGACTTCTTTCATAGACATTACATGTATCTAAACATGAAGATAAAGTATCAAGATCTCTTATCACAAACCATCATTGAATTAGACGTGGAATTCATAGACATTTACTGTTTGTGAATGCTAAACCATAAACACTAATTGTCTGTGAGTGTTGTATTCAAAGAGATTAATGCAACAAAGAATACATGAGGAGATGAGTGAACTAAACCAAAGCCCCTCAAAAAATACAAATACCTAACCCTCTACAAGCTACCAGTGAAAACAAATTCCAATAAAGGGAAAACAATTGTACAATTGACATTGCAAATATAGCATACAAAATCTTCCACCATTATAGTATGTTCTTAATTTTATAATTTTTAAAAACTTAATTAAATACCAAGGCCAATCACCTACGCCAAAATCCAAAACGGGTTCTTAACATAATGGAAATCCGAAAGCAACTATCTCCAATCTTCCAACGTTCAATCTTCCACGCCAAAAGCAACCACAAGGGAACACGAGTCCGAATCTAAAACTTAACAAACAAATAAGAAGTATCACTTTGTGTGAAACAAATTTTAGAAGCTATTGGAATCAGATGAGCAAATTTGAGGGATATTGGTAAACTTTTACGAATATGATAGTGTTTGTTAAATGTGTTATAGACATTACATGTCTGTAAGATTTTATTCATAAACATAAAATGTTTGTGAGAGTGTAGATAAAGTATCTAGACCCAGTGGCGGATCCAGGAAATATTTTCACTGAGGGCATTAAGTAAATTAAAGTGACAAAAATAAGGTTAAAAAACAAGGGACAATTAAATAGATAGAACATGCCTCTTACAAATGTTCTCTTCGAATTTTCAACTTTTGAAGGCGACCAATTATATCTTCGTTTGTAAGATTAAAAAATGTTTCCTCTTCCACAACACAAATCACACAACCATTCAGAAACTCATCCCCCATTCAATTTCGTAAATTTGATTTTAGGTGTTTCATTGTAAAAAACAAATCTCTAAAATCTTTCTTCTTTCTGAAGGATCCCATAGAAGATCACTTAAATCTATTTCTTTAGCTAGTGAAGGTACAGATGATCTAGACTCAGGTGTTGAGGGGATCTTCTGTTTAAAAAACTTTTCCATTATCTAAAAAATAAAATGAAATAAACTTTTTTTACAAAATCTATGACCAAAAACTAGAACAAATTATTCATATGTTTTAAGATACTTATTATAAATACTCCCTTCGTCCCAAAATATAAGCAATAATTACTATCTCAGTCTCTCGATAACTTGTGTTTGTTGATTCGTTTTTGTTGATCATTTGATAAAATAAGATATTCTTGTCGCATCTTATTTTGTAGAACTTTTGATTTATTTTTTAACGATGTAATTTTAAAAAAGATGATATTTAGAATGTGGCTTACAATTTGGGAGGGAGGGGGGTAATAATCAACATGATAAACAAGATAATAGCAGCCTAGTAAACCAGGACAGCAATTCTCATTTCTCAGTTTCTCTTAAAATACCAGATGACAATTAGGTATATATTTCATACTTTCCTACACCGTCAAGCATAACCTAGAGAGATATAATTTGAGCAGCTGAGAGCTAGGGAGTGAAACCTGATTGGAAAGCGGTAGAGAACGACTGCACTAGCTTCGAATCGCTTGGAGACAGTGGCGGTGAATTGAAACTGTGGCGGCTGTGCTCCTGTGAATTTGTGCGATTATTGTCCGATAATCCTATTGTGCTTCGCCGATCGCCAGCCCTCAGGGAGTTTGTGCGAAGGGGAAGGGCCACTTTTGGGATTGGGAGTAAATTTTTACTTTTAAGAATTTGGGCCACTTTTATCTTTATGCAATTAATTGGGTTGGGGAGTTGGGCTAGAATTTATTTGAGACTTTGAGTTGGCTATTTTGTTTAATGGACTGGGGGCAGATTATATTTTTTATTGGGGGCAATAATATACTACTACCTCCGTCCCAATTTATAACGCCTGTTTCGGTTTACGATGTTTGACTGAAATTATTTTCAAACCATTTTATATGACAAATGGTATAGAATTAAAAAATAAAAATTACATATTAAAAAACTACATCAAAAGATCTACAAAACTAGTAGTGGCAATAATATTTTATTTTATCAAATTGCTAATGAAAATAGAGAAAGAAAGTGAATAAAGTTTGACCCTGTGAATAGTAAACAGGCATTATAATTTGGGACGGAAGAAGTACAAAGTTAAAAAATATTTTATATATATATATATATATATATATATATATATATATATATATATATATATATATATATATATATATATAAGATAGAAAGAAAGAAGGGGAGGGGGTTGTAGAGAGAGAAGATAGAGGGGGGATATTAATATATGGGGTACAACACATAGCTTTTTCCTATTATCCTATATCTAAATCATCAATAGCTTGAAAAAATCCCCCCTCCCAAAAACAAAAAAAAAATACAGCGATTACTTGTTCTCCCTAGTCTCCTTCAAAAACGGATTTCCCCTCTTTATGTTCTTCATGCTTCAATCACTCTTACTTACGCCGAGTCTCTTCTTCCGTTGAATTCGAACATCAATTCTGATTTCCAGGTAAGCAATTTAAATTTCAATCAAGGTGGATGCTAAATTTTTTTATTCCTCGTGATATTTTATTCATTAATTTGTATATTGGATGTGAAACTAAATTTTAAGGTATTTAACTTATTTGAGATACTTAAAAACATTAGATATAATTAAAGTTAGGTTTTTAATTAAAATATGACATTTTTTTATGCGTGAAAAGAGGGATTGAATAAATATGATATTTTTTGGAAGATAATATATTGTGCAAGTTGTTCAATACATTTATTAAGGGAACGGTATTAAACAAAATGATATCTAATTAAACTAATTGTGTTGTGATGAGATTTGTAATTTTTTATGGTGTCAGGATAATTTAAGGAGTGTTTTGAATGGAAGAGTTTGATGAGAACTCATATATGTATGATGTGGATAGACTTATTGATTTGGAAACTCAAGTATCAAACACAGTAGAACAAGAGGTGCCCTTTTTTTTTCGATCGATTGGAGTAGAATTATAAAAGGCAAATTTCAAAGTCGGGATGAACTTGTTGAATGTATTAGAAGTCATATGATTCAGCATGGTTATGTTATATCAATACGACGGTCAAAAAAAAGATAAAAGTGTCGATATTGGGTGCGATCGAAATAGATATAACATAACAGAAGGGTCTCGAAAAAAAAAACTGCTTCTCGTCTTTGAAGTTCATGGTAGAAGAAAAAGTGATGGATCCTGGTCACTTATGGTTATTAATGCGGTCCATAATCACGAACCTTCAACCGTCTTTGTCATGGATTGTACTTACAAGACCAATAGGTACGTACAAGATGCCGTTGTTGGATATTATTGGGGTGTCTTCTTTCAACACAACTTTTTACTCGTGTTTTGCTTTTCTAAGGAAGGAAGAAAAAGAAGACCATGTTTGGGCATTGAATATGTTTCGCGACATCTTGGGTGTTAATTGTCATCCTTCTGTTATTGTAACAGATAGAGAATTAGCACTCATGAATGCAATCCCTAATGTATTTCCATTAAGTAAAAAATCTCCTTTGTGTGTGGCATATTGAGAAAAATATATTGGCCAAGTGTAAGTCTTATTTTGAGAGTGGGAGTGATTGGGATTCTTTCATGGCATGTTGGTCTTCTATTATAGATTCTACAACAGAGTCGGAGTTTAAAGAGAACTCTCAAATCTTTGAAGTTCAATATGGAGAAAAGCCAGTTGTTGAATACATTTAAAAAAAAAACCTGGTTTCCTTTCAAGGAACTTTTTGTGAGAGCTTGGACAGATCTGCATATGCACCTTGGGAATCGTGTCACTTCAAATGCTGAAGGAGCACATTCAAACCTAAAAAAATATTTGCAGATTTCAACAGGGGATTTAGTTGAGGTAAAGAATAAGATATGTCTTGCAATAGATAATCCATTTCAAGAAATTAAGGTGCAAGCTTCTAGGGAAAAGATACGTGTCCCTTCATCACTTTCGTATTCCTCTATTAAAGGATTTACTCACTCGTGTATCAGTGTTTGCACTTGCCAAACTTTTCGAACAATATGAACTTGCACGAAGCGGGGTCAAGCTTTCTCCTTGTAAGGGACATTTTACGTCTTCCATGGGACTTCCCTGCGCTCATATGATGAAATCTTCGAATTTTAGTGGAATACAGGTTGATTTGATTCATCCACAATGGCGACTAGATATACAACCTTCCTTTAACAGTGAAATCCACTAAGAATTGTGAAGAACAACAGTTTCAATGTTTGCTTCATGAAGTACAAAAAGAATATTTGCAATGGCCAAGCACTAGACAAGATGATGCACGAAAGTTACTTCAACAAATGATGAGTACAAAAAGAATATTTGCTTGTCCTTTGAAAGATCCACTGATCGTTCCCCATAAAGGTCGTCCCACTTCCTCTAAGTCTAAG